CCGGGTACCGTGGGGCAGAGCGGGAGCATCCCAGCCACGCCGAGTCCAAGGTTAGGGCCAGGAAAGCACCTTGCATGGACTTCTCTCAAAGGGCATTTCCAGGCTAGCTCTCACCCTTTCCTGGGTTAATAAATGCCCGAGGATCACAGCCAGGTGCTCCCTGCCATGTCAAGGCTCCCAAACCAGCCCAGGAAGAGGAGGGGATCCGGCCCCTGAGATCAGCCCACCCATGGGGCAGCGGGGAGGTGTGCGGTGGGATGGGGGGCACTGAGTGCGAAAGGGTTAGCAGCTGGCCAGCACAACCCGAAAGGCTGAATTTGGGGGATCTGGGGAAGCCTGAGGCCAGGCAAACCCCATGCATGTCTGAAACACCTGAGCCAGGTCACCGTGGCGTGGGCCCTCCAGGACCTGCCACGAAAGGTGGCCCCAGGACACAGGAGGGGCAGGGCAGCAGCCCCCGGCCACGCAGGGACGGAGACAGAGGGACACTGGAATGACAGACAAGGAGCTTGGCCGCGGGAGAGGGAGATGTACCATCTCCTGCAAGCTGGGGCTCTGGGCGAGAGGCTGGTGATGGTGTTTGGGGTTCGGGGGCTGCTCATGGGTGCGGGCCTTCTCCTGGTGCCCGGGGCAGAGCAACCCCAGTGCCCTGGGCCACATCCTGCACTGCTGAATCTTCACTGTGCAACCAGGAGCAGGGAGGGACTGGGATGGGGGGGTTAGGGAGACTTGGGGGCTGTGGGTGTCCAGGGGCCTCTGAGCCCCCCAAAGGGGCACCCCCACAGAGACAGCTCCCAGCTGCGGGGGCGAAGGGCCAGGGCTGGTGGGCACGGTCACGGCAAGGGGGTCTCGGGCAGCGCTGCCGGCCTCAGCTCGCTCCACCGGAGCTGTCAGGAGAGTTTAGGGTACGATTCGCCTGACCAAACACAGGCGCGTGTTCCAGGAGAAGATGAAACACAGCTGCACTCTGCTTCCTACAGCTCCCGGCTCTGCAGCAGGGTCTGGGAAGGGGTAAAGACATTCCCCTGTTTAATGGGGTGATGCAAGAGCTTCTTGCTCCAGTACAGGGTGTCCGTGGGGCTGGTGCATCCCGGCACGTGGGGGGATCAGGGCCGGTTGGTACCCAGAGTGATGCTGTGGGTGCTGGGATGTCCGAGGGAGGCGGTGG